AGCTGTTATTATGGGCTCCTTGCTTGAAATTTTAAGTGTTTATTAATCTTAGGAAATAGAAGTACATTTCTACCCTCAGTGTTTGTGGGAGAAAATTTATGACTTATTGTGGTTTAAGCCTAGCTGGTAACTAAGCACCATGCAGCTGCTTGCTCACTCCACACTCCCTCGCAGTGGAATGAAGAGAATCAAAAGGAAAAACTCGCAGGCTGAGATAAAAACAGTTTGATAATTGAAACAGAGAATAATAGTAATAATAATAATAATAATAATAATAATAATAATAATAATAATAATAATGTAGATTTAAAAAAAAATACAGATAAAAGCCAAGAAAAACAAGTGATGCACAATACAGTTTCTCACTGTTCACTAACAGATGCCAAACCCCATTCCCCTGGGCTGCGGGTGGGTGGGGTGTGGTAAGTGAGTGAGTGGCTGTGTGAGGCTTAATTTCAAACTGGGCTTAAATCACAGCAGATCTTTCTGGCACCCAGTGTGGGGCTGATGTGCCATCCCTCGAATCCACAATAATCCTGGTTATCCCTCTCCTCCACATGACAGGAGGCAGAGCCTTTTAATACTGATCACAAGATTCCCCACTTCTTTCTCATGGAAGTGGGATTCAGCTTCTTTCAGCAGCATAAGCAGCCCTTCCATTCCTCCTGGGAAAGTGTTCCCTGGAAGTTGGAGAAAAAACTTTCCTTAAGGAGCCCCCATTGTCATTGCTTTTCCCTGCCATTCCCACAGCCGTGCCTCTGGGGTTGAGTTGTCTTCAATCCCACTTCCTCACGTCCTCTCCATGGTCCYACTTAAACCCCAACATTTGTTTTTTATCATAATCTCTTCCTTTCCCCTCCCTTCCTATTTTCTTTCCCTTTGCTCCACTTCCCTTTAGTGAAGGATTTGCCTATGCTRATTCATTCTAAAATATAACATCTGGTTACAGTTTTATGCTAATCAATTTTTTTTTTTTTTGAGCTTTAACTCGTTGGAGAGGCAATGTTCATGAACAGATGTCTTTATGCCTTCTCTGGACAACTTATTTTTTTAATTATTTCATTATCTTCTCTGTATTTCGTTCATAATTACTGACTTGCCTGTAGCTCTGAATAGAGCATTTCATAGAATAGCACTTTTCATGTTATACTTCCCACAGTATTAACTGTCCATAATGTATCTGATGAATGAGCTGATCAAATAATTTAGTTCTTTGATAAAGTTTATTTGTTTAATTTACATAGAGATAATTATAGAGCCTTCAGAAAAAAACACAGGGATGATAATGAAGGTAGACAGCAGTAAAAGAAGTAGGATGAAGCTTGATGTTTTGAGATACCTAAATGCATTTAAAAAACGTTATTGCAGCTACAGATATCTATTAACACTTGATTTCAGTCTATTTCCCTATTTTTCATAGTTTTGTTTTTTTTTTTCTTTTTCACCTTCTTTTGTGTTTTAGGTAATGTTTTTTGACATAAAATTATTTCAGTTGCTTTCCAAATTTGGAACATATTGGAGATACCATTTCTGTCTGCTTAATATTGAGAGCGTTCTAGAATTTGTACATGCTGTTGGGTTACTACATGGAATACTCTGTGTGCTTCACTCCCTTACACAACACCTGGGGGAAGACTCCACTGCACATTCCACATTTTCCTCACATGTTAATTGTACACGACCCCGTGATTCTAAGATTAAATCTTGTGTAGTTGACCATGGTGTTATGTAAGTTAGTTGTTTTATTTCCACACCAATGTAATTTGTGGCTGCTTTTCTTCAGCTGTTATTTAAATGGAGGGTTAATTTATCCAGGATAAAACAGGAATTTTATCTTTCCATATGTATCATGTTTTTTAGTGGTTTTCCTTTAAAATACATCCCTTAGATTTCCTTCAGGTCCTCTGGTGTTATGTAAAGATAAGCAGTTGAAGCCAACAGTCCTACAAGCCAAACCAAGGGAGTTTGTGTTTTGATCTTTATTTAGCACTAAGACAGTACATTAAAATAATATGTAAAACTGTCATATACTTTTTCACTCATCTTTCTATTCATTAAGATTTTGACAAATTCCTATGGTAGATTTTACTTTTTTTCCTACTTCTAGGATATCTGCTTCTGGTGAAAAGTCACCTTGTCATTGCCATTCAGTAACTTCAGTCCTTCCTCTGTCTTGTTTCCCCCATCTCTTCCATCTTTGTGRTTTTGAAGAAGGACAATTAAGTGAGAAGCAACAAATCAGCTTGCAGCTGCTTTCGACATTTTTTAAATTTAGGTTTTGGGTTAGTTGCTGATATAGGGCAAACAAATCAACATCCATAAGAAATGGCACAGGACAGTCKTCTGAACATTTTCATTCCTCTTAGGTAAAGGACAGTGGTTTTAGGTCACAACCYAAAAAAGCTTTTTTAAAAGGTTATTTTCAACAAGAATATATAACAAATGAGTAGGCATTTCTTTACAAGTCATTCCCTAACCATGCTTGGTTTTTCATAGTTTTCTGAGGTTGGAGTTAACAGACACTTTTCAATGACACAATAAATTTACCCAATGCAATTTTGAGCCCTTTGMATCTGAAGACTTACTGCAGTGAAGTGAAGACATTCAATCTATTTGAGGAAGAAGACTTAATTACCCCATGGCCAGAAAAAGAGCAGCCTTCCTCAGGTTTAGAATKATATGTGTGGCAGTAGTGTAGGGTGTCTGAGTGTATTTTTAGTTGTGATTAATGGAAGGTGTACTTCCAAGACCYTAAAAAATCAATGGAACTTCTGGTTTAAGGTTTRCTTGTAATACATTTGTAATTAATATGTCCTGCTGGAGATGCTACTRTGYTGTTCTTAATATTCTTTCTGAAGGCTTTACCAAAAAAAAAACAAAAAACAAACCAAAACAACCTATTAATTGTTAACTAGAATCTTTTTCTGTCTAGATTGATTTCAACAAAAACATTATGAGTAGCTAAAACGCTGCAAAAAGGAGGAAAGACAGAGACACAGGCAGTTTTGAAGGCTTGTTCTATTTTTCCTGTATGATACAAACCAATATAATTATATTCTATTATCAAAATGTCATTGTGCTTATATTCCCAGAGAGATTCAGTAGCATTATGGGCACAACTCTTTCATAGTGCTGCAGAAGGGCCTATTGATCACTCCAACTTTCTAAAGAATGTTTAAAAGCTCCCTCAAAGTGAACAAATCTTGTGTTTCCCTGCTCAAAAATGACTTTTGTTCTGCGGGATTAGGGAAAAAGATAAGGTGTCTCTGATTCAGTTGCATGTTTTAAATTTAGTAGTTAAGTGCTTTTAAATTTGTCCAAGAGTTTTGGGAATTCTGTACATGACTTGACTCGCATAGTGGCACATGTTTTTTCATACCATAATTTCAAGCATTTTTATAAAACTATTTCTCGTTCTAAATGTAAGGCAGCAAATAGAGTTGCTGGGTCTTATTACTTAAAGATAGTTCAAGGTGTTGAGCAGTGTGTGTAAGTCATGTGTAAATCTGTTCAGTAGTGGTTTTCAGATAGGTAATAAAGTGGCTGCATGTGTATTAGCTAGAAATGAGCTTAGTAAGAATTGTGGGCTGTGCACAGAGCTTAGTAAGAATTGTGGGTGTGAAAACAGGCTAAAAAACAAAGATTCCCACTACTGTAGAAATTTTGTGATGCTGTGGATTTGTTTGTTCCATGAATCAGAAACCAGACCTTACCCAAAAATGAAGGGATTGAAAGGAGCTTTTGCCTCGGAAGAGCAGTCATAGACAAACGTCATGKCAGAGTAGCTGTAATAGCACTGAAGTCAGTGCTGTACTCATAAATATGTATTGATGAGGAAAAAAATTAGTTTAGCACTGGATATTGACCTTAATTCCATCCTCTGTTTATGTAACCTTCCAAAGGAATTGGTACTTTCTAACAAAATATATCTTTCATAAAATTCCCAGCTAGTTCTAATGAGTGTTGCAGTGAATACCAGCTGACAGGAAGGCAAAGGTGTTCTGTATAATACAGATTCCCAATTTTACATTGCCCTGTGGTRAAAATGGAAGATGTGCAATGTAGGTCAGCATGGTGTCAATTCTAGAAAATTAAAATACAGTACTTCCTCTCAAATCAACCAAAGCATCTGTCAAACTTTACAAATTAGAAATAATGTGGATATGTGAAACTATTTTGCACCCCACAAAATAATCAGTGCTTTTTATTGTGGTTGTTGTAGCTCTCATACATACAGAGTAATCTAAGAATTCATAGGTGCGCATGAAACTTGCTCAGTGACTAGACTATAAAAAAATTACGTTTTTTATTTTAAATATTTCATGCATTAGTCAAAGCATCAGGGCAGAAACTTGGTTTGAATTTTAGAAAGAGTGAATCTTTTTAACAYTGTCATATGGGGGAAAATCACAAGTATTTCCTTTCATCTTTCACTGATGCTTTGCACAAAACATGAGTTGTCAGCCMCTTACAGAAGTGAGGCTGTGATCCAGTACAATTGCAAGTATGTCCTATTAACATAGATGTATTTCTAAGATCCTGACTAGAATAAGTCCAAGACTCATCTCTCTCTGTGTTCTCTCCAAATTTGTTTCTGGCACATGAAGCACTGACTAAGCACTTAAATTTTATAAAATTTCATTAGCGTGTTTTTAGGGTTTTTTTCTTGTTTTTTCCTATTTTTCTTGCTCCTGATTTGCACCTTAATTGCCAAGTCTTCTTTATTTTCTAGCTATATTAGTATTTATTTCTGGCTTATTTCTTTGAAATAATGGCATGTACTTGAAATAAAAGTAAGCATCAATATCTCTTAAATAATAGTACCCTGTTAAAGATGGACGTATGTAAAAGTATTCTGAGAGTTTAAATGTATTTTCCTCTTTTACTTTGTGTCGTGCTTTTCATATTTATTCTAACTCTGGCTTTTTTACAGCTTTCTGATCTTTTTCTAATTACTGTTTCTGGTGTTTGAACTAACTAGAGCCATTGTTTCATTTCAGTTTGGAAAACGACACATCGAAGACCTTTTTAATGATTTTCGAGATGGTCGAAGACTTCTGGAGCTCCTGGAATGCCTTACAGGCCAAAAACTTGTAAGTGTCTTTTAATGCATTTACTGTATATTGAACTCTTGTTGTGGTAATTGTAGAAGGTGATATTCATTAACTTCTGCCACTGATGAGGACCTGTAGAAATTATTTTTAGTGGTCTGAATATGTTTCAATTTCATTTGAAATTGTGTAAACATTGTGACTGCGTGCTGTACTGGACACTAACACTTTGCTAGGCATAATACTTGAAATGAAAATATTCTACTTTCTTTGCACTTATTAAGTGTGGCACAGAAACACAAAACTGAAGCARGTACATTTCGATATCTGGATTTTAGCTGGAATAGAATGTAATGTGGAGAATGAGAATATTTTTTCTGATAAATTTCATACATACAGTCCTTCTGGAGTTGTACTTGTCTGAAAAGAGAGAACTGCCTGCCCTTACTAACTTGGAAATTGTAAAGAAATGCAGTCACACTCACATTTTTGATGTCTTCCCTTATGTTCCTGGGTGGACTTTGTGAGTYTGGCATCTTTCCCTGAAACTTTCTCATAAGGASCCTGGGAGATTGAGAATCAAAATTMAGARATAATGTACTTGTACATAAATACTAAACAAACAAATGCTTATCTGTTTAGTTGCCATAGCAATTTTCCTAAACTGTGCTAGGCAGGAGACAACTAATCATGATAAAAAGAATCTGGAATTATCTAATTTTATATGCATTTCAATGATTGCTTCACTGAAAAGTATCAAGGTACCAAATTAACTTCTGTGGATCCAGTTTGTTTCACAATTGACTTTATTTCATGTTGRGAAGCTGCATAACCCCAGTGTATAGTAATATTCTATTCTCACAAAGTTATGAARTAGAAAACTACAGGTGTAATATAAGATTTGAGTTACATATCAKGTACTCTAGATTCTGATTTTGGACAGTCAACTTTGGTTTACTTTCTTTGTAGGCAAAAGAAAAGGGCTCCACAAGAGTTCATGCTCTGAACAATGTCAACAAAGCAATCCACGTTTTGCAGAGAAATAATGTAAGTATTCAGCCAGACAGGCTCAAAAAGGCTGTAGACAGCATATAAAATGTTTTTTAGGTGTTGAATCAAACACCTKTGGGCTATAATATAAAAGTAYTGGAGTTAAAGCAGTTTTATCAATRTGWCTTGGACASTTTGTCATTCGGCATCAGGGTTGAATGTGTTTTAAGGGGTTTAAAATCCTCTTCCAGCAGATGTTGGATAATACATCTGTAATGGATGCTGTCTGAAGAGAGATCAACCTCCACGATTTTATTCTAATGAATGGTGTTTAAAAAAAAATTTTTAAAAGGTAAACACAAAAAGTCATCCATAACTTGTTACAGGATTTTGCCCACAAATATTTAAATAAATTAAAAAAAAAAAAAAATTTACTTACAACCTCTAACAATTATGAAGTTTGAAAAACCAGGGCTTTTCCTGCAATATWTTTTTTGTTACATTTCAAAGGCATCTGTCCCTCATGGTTCAAAATCATATCAATCATTTAATACCAATCACATGAATCATATCAATGCCACTTTCAATTCTACTTTGTGAAGATTCATTTTTCAAGCCACTATCCTGTGCATTATTCTTGACTATTCTCACAGTATCTTCTTTATGCAGGCATTCTAATGAACTCATAATTTTAGCAGACATTTCCTCTTGCCATCTAATTTTATCATAACTCTCCTCAAGAATAAAATCAAATAAACTATAACACTTGYTTAAACTTAACAGTAAGAGGTGACAGAACAAAGATAATGTATTCTGTACTGTATATTATATTGGATTTCTTGATAGCTGCAGGAGGTCACTAATGCTTGAGTTCAACTGCTGAAAAAAGTTATTGATTTTATAAATCTAAGGTAATCCATCTAAAGATTTGTACATAAATGGAAGTGACCTTATAAGATTGGCACAAAGACCTCCAGCTTGATTTTCTTTTTATTTAATGGAATTTAATGTAAATAAATAGAAGGAAAAGCTTCGAATTATTAAAAATCTGCAATATTTGACATTATTGGGAAAAAAAATCATCAATACATTATTTCACAGTACACAAGAAGGTTTTGATTGCATACCTGGTCAGAAATGATCATAGCAAATGCTTTTTGAAGTTTTCAGTACCTATCAGCTGAATCCACTGAGTGCTTTTCATACACTTTCCGGAACACAATAATAGTCCCTTTCAGATCTGGGAAGAAAATAGAGAGTATTTCAATTTTAGAAGACATAAGGAAAAAACAGTGTTTTAGAAAGTGAAGTGGTCATCCAGTGGCCATCCTATTCATGTAATGAAAACCTTACAAACTAGACAAAAATTATTGTAGTATATGTAAAGGCGTACTGTATTTTGTCAATATGAAATCGAAAGACCTGCCTCTGAAATTGTTTCCTTAACCTTCAGTAATTTGACAAATTATTTCTGTGCTACTTCAGGAATGCAAAATCAATGGTTCTAAAGTGAATTAAAGCCTGTGAATAGTCTAGGTTTTTCTGCTGCTATGTGCCATCCTTGCTCTGAGGTTCTGTAGTCATCTGGGTGGTAACACTGAAAAATGCTGCTTCTTCCAGTCAATTCATTTCAGAGATTTTTTGTTCCCATAGAAAGGTGATTATGTTGAGGGGGAGCATGGGGGATGTGGGGAGGCTGCCCCAATATAGGCTTAGGCTGCCCTGTGGCAAACTGGACAATATTCCTCTGCTTCAGTAAAACAGTTTTGTGTATTCAGGCTTCCACTTGCAAAAAAGGATGGAGGATTTGGAGGAATTGGCCTGTAGAAAATGTAGACACTGCCCTAATAAATTTTGTAGGGTGTCACTTGCTGCATGGGACTCCATTTTAAATTTAGCATATAGAGTCTAAGTTCAACTTGGGAAATGTTCCAAGACATTGTTGGTTAGATTAAATTGCCAGTCTCATATGCTTTTAGTACAAAATGTGGAATTCTTAAAGAAGAGAGTTCTCTGAGAGTTTTATAGTTCCTGATAAAATAACTACTTTTTTGTTTGCAAAAATATCCTATATATAGATGCATTGAAAGAAAACAAAACAAAAAATAAAGCATCTTTTTTTTCAGGTGCAAAACTTCAGTCAGTTTCCAGATGTAACTTCTAATAACCTCAGAAGCATAGTAGAGATATGCAGACTGTCGTTTGTAAAGGAATGGAGTAGTTTGCCATAAAAAGCATCAGTTCTGACCATGAAAAATTGCATCTATGAAACAATGAGGATGMCAATTTTAGAGTCATAGCTCTATCCAAATGGGCAGGACAGCTTATAGCCTTGCATTCATAACCCCGAATTTGGCTTTGTTTTTTAGATAGCATAAAAAGGGGGGTAGGGCGAAGGATCATTTCACATGCAGAGGAAAGAATATTCCAGGGTGGTGAATACTGATGCATTATGAAATACTGATGCATGATATAATTATGGAAAACAACATTACTGGAKGAACTATTGTGGAAAAGACTTGTTTAGATCACAATCACTGCTTTATCTGAGTGCCAGAACACATCCTGTATATTTCCTTTTACATTATAGAATTTAATTATGGAAAAATAAATTCAATTCAATCTAAATATGTAATGTCTTGGGTTTTTAGGCTCTTTCAGTGTCTGGACACGTGTGTTACTTTCAGAAAATTACATTAYGTGAGGAAGCATAAAGCAGAGTACAGGAGTTTTTCTGTCTGTRTGATTTGTAATTGTAGAAGCTTAATATTATAAGATATTTGAGTTATTATAACTATTATTTTTAATTTTATGTTTCACAACACACTATWACTGGAATAATTGGAACTCCAGATCACTGCTGTTTGTTTTCCAGAACATTATTCGTGTCATTTATAAAATGTGAGTTGTATGTTTATGGAACAGCAGAAACCCAATGGGAGGTTTACCTTAGCCTATCCTTCATCTCCCTACAACCACTTATGCATGGTATTAATATTTTACAATTATWTTTTGTTTCRATAATAGGTTGATTTGGTAAATATMGGRAGCTCAGACATTGTGGATGGAAATCATAAGCTGACCCTTGGTTTGATCTGGAATATAATCCTCCACTGGCAGGTGAGTGGTACTGCTCCTTACTTTCCATGAAATATCTTTATTCCACTGATCTTTATCTTTTCCCTGTTATTATTCAGCAAAAACCTGGCAAGTAAAYGTAGGCATTACAATGTGGTAAATCAGTAGGTATTATGGCAGTCTGTTTACATATTATCAAGGATATTGAGAATATTAAGAAGATAAAATAGTTTTTTTCAGCATTAGCWGAAACTTTTTTGACTAATACCACAGTGAGATATTGCATGATATATATAACAGTTATCTGAACAAATATGGATGGACAAAGCCAATGTGGATGTATAACTCTCATGCCACTTTTTATTTTCTTGGAAATAATTACTTTTATATTTTAATGAARTAATCACATCTGTTGCTTTTTGCTGCTGACACATCCTGCCAAGAATTATTTTTAGAACACTAAGATGCTGCTAGACTGCCTATTTATTGAAGCAGATGTGGCTCATTCAGCTTCCGTTCTCTTTGGAGAGAAAGAGGGGKTTGTGATACAGATCTCATAAAAATCAACATGGTAGATGAGGACACTTCAATAAACTGAGATGGCTATAAAATCAAAATTCAAAAAGGAGTAGCATCTAGATGTTCTGAATCCMTTTGTTTGTATGAATTTGGGCTAAKAGTCTGTCCATTCGTGTTTTCTATGTTTGCAAGCAATAACCTGCAAGTTTTCCATAGAAATACAAGAAAAGGTGGTGGGACAAAAAGCCTTAAGGCTTTACTTTAAAAACTAAACACTTCTATCAAAAACCAGATGTGTATCACTCTCCAAGTATGGAGCATTTTTATTCTAATTTTACAGGACAGCAGCAACAGAGAAAAGCTACAAATAGTTAACTCACTTCTTCTCCTGTTTAAGTTTCAACATTCCTAGTTTAATTGCATAAAATTGTTCTAAATTACTTATTAAGAGCAGATGGAATRTGATACTTAGCTATGCAACTTTCACCAATAATCCTTGAATTCATTTGTATAAATTTTGTATATATTTATGTGAATTAATCCGTGGTTTAATTTGTATAAATTATAGATTGAGACAACTATTTGTGTTCAAATTAATATTTTGTTTTCTTCATATTTTATCCTGAAGCTAACCCTGTTCAAGATCTGCTTTAGTGTTAGCTGTGTATTTATTATTTTCTTTTCAATTGTTCCCAGCCTTCCTCTGAACACATATTTGCACACACATACAAAGAAGACACAGGTTCTTGTGTAGCCTGATGAGGTTTTTGACAGCAGCCATGTGCTCTTAGAGTACCTTTTGTTTATGGTGCAAATGTGATTATTTCCAGGCTTCATTTTGACAGTAACTTTGATGGTACCCATGGCTTCAGCTTTACCTGGCCATGGATRAAAAGTCCAAGGATTGTATTTACAAAGCAGTGACTAAAACTGTGACTCTCTCAGCATAGTCAGAATGATTCAGACCATGTTTAGTCTGTACTTGGAGTTCTGTGTTTCATTTTGTTTTATTCATGAATTACTGAAAGGAAGTGAGCTGCATCTTCTGGACTATTCTTTTTATCAAAATTGTTGTCAATAAGCTTCTAATTTGGCTAGAATTCAATTTCAGGTTTTTGTTTTTTTTGGTTCTTTTTCTAAAGAGTAGTTAAAACTTGATTGGTAACAAGAAGCCATTATTAAATGCTAACTCTGTTGCTATTGCACTATGATGAACAATTTTAAACAAATAACATGAAAAAATTCTCTTTGGATTTTTTTTTAAGGAGAAAAACACTCAGGAACCGTTGTTTTGCTGCCTATTTCCTTTCAAGTATTGGAATAGTTGAAAGTAAATTTGCTTATTTACGGCTCTGTGGAGAAAGCCTTTTTTTTTTTTCCAGATTTTCTTCCAAGTTTTGAAGTTAGTTGCATGATCTAGAATATGTTTGTAATTKTTCTGCCCTGTTTATAGATAGGTATGATCTTACACACTGACAATACTTATGGTGAAAAACGGCTGTAAATTTCTTAAGAAATTTTTTCTTCGTGTTGGTTCCAGTTTGCCTCTTACAGATGTCCCTGGCAAGAACTGGCTGGAAACAGAATAAGTTGTTCATACAGAGGCAGGGCCACCAAACTTATCTGTCAGTTGTCTACAGCTGGGTAAAATACAAAACTATATCTGTAGTCTATAGTCTGTAGTCTGTATATCTATAGTCTAAAACTATATCTGCATTTATCTGTAGTCTGTGGAAGGCCTAAAAACAAATAAGTGATAATACAGAGGCTACTTGATTTAGTGTGTGCTGCTGGTGTAGTTTGTGCTTGATGGTGCAATCCTGCTTGTGCAGATCCTGAGAAGAGTCACTTAGAGGAAGTTATCTGTCTACATCTAAATCAAAAAACAACAACACAAAAAGAGATGAGATTACTGTTTGTGTGAACACCTGTTTTCCTGTAGATGAACAGGCAAAAAGCTTTTCCAGTTTCACATCATGCAGAACAACATTAGAACACACACAACAACTGTACTTAGAGATGACAACATGATGATGTCTTACAAAAATGTTCATTTCTTTGTGTAAAAATAATAAAAAAAAACAACAAGGTAGAAAAGTGGTGCATGAAAGGAATAATGTCAGTACCAATTCCAATGGGTGTCAGCTGTCCCGTTGAGGAGAGGCAGTGGTGATTGAGGTAGAGGTGGTAGACAAATTCTGCAGCAGACAGGATTTGATGCATTGTCGCCACTCTCATCTCTGTGGAGTAGAAACACCGTGGCTTTCTGCATCCCCTGTGGTGATTGTGTCCTTTCTTATCTAGCCTGTTTTTTTCAGATTATTATTAAAAGTTTCCCAGAAATTGAACCATCGTTGTGAGTTGAGCACCTGCTGCCAAAGCTCGTTATGGTGCTGAATCCATCAGATTTTGTATTTCCTTGAAGCTGCTGCCCTCTTTCTCACAGCCCTGTGATCCCAGCCTCACTGCAGCATTAACATTTAAGTAAAAACAGAGCAAAGCTATTAATTTCTGAGCTGTTATATTTGACAAATTCTCTTAAGAGTGGAGAAACATTCTATAAAGCAGTGTGTAAATGGTTTTGTTATGCTTTTAAGAGTGAACTTATTTTCATGTAAAGCATGAAAGAAAACTCCTAGCAAAAATCTTTGGCCCAAACCTTGCCTTTCTCTGGGAAAAATCACAAAAGAATAGATAAGGAAAATATTTCAGAAGGGAGGATTTCAACAGCCTGTCAGCCTCGTTTGGAGACTTATTAAAAGCATCAGGGTTATTGTGCGYGTCAGTATTTTAGTATGAACTACCATGTTATTTAATTTTGATTTTTGATTATGGAAATGAAACACTTCTGTCAATCCACCTTGAATCAATGAACAAAGAATATCCTTTACTTTGATDGGTGTCTTGAATATCTATGAAAATGTCCTTAAAAGTGTTCTTTCAAATATATTTGGAAAGAATTTAATGGTTCTAGCTATAGAAAAGTAATCCATGCAGTCAGAATACCTGAAATACGGAAAGTAAAAAAAACACTAAGWGATTCTGTCAGAGATCTGTAAGGTTGCTATTTTAATAAGAATGGTGAAAAAAATCTTGCTTTGAGAACAGTTCTCTTTTTAAAGTATCTTCTTTCCTCCCTCTACTCTAGGGTCTGACATCCTAAAGTCAAGTTCTAGTCTTACAAAATGTCACATGCCTGAGTGATGGCTTTAGGTGAAAGAGGTGCRGTGTGAGCCTGAGCTTGTGCTGTGTCCCTTGTCACCTTACACAGCAGCACGGGCCCGGATTGCAGGAAATGGCTCTGCAGAGGGAAGAGCAAAGGTCTGATGCTGCTGTGAGCCAGGGCTGCCCATGCTGCTTTTGGCCACTTCCTTCATGTGCTGACAAGAATAGCAGCGCTCCCATTCTGTCCACAGCTTTCCTTTTTGACAGCCTGGCATTTCAGAAGCCATCTCGGTGATGTCTGTATTGTCCTTTCCCCCCTTTTTATCAAAATTTAATTTTTTCTTATTGCCATAGCATATGTCCATTCCCCAGGAAGAGCAAGTATGTCTGTTCTCTGGAAGTCAGAGTTTCCTACACCTGAAAGCTTTGTATCCTGCCAGGATATACTGAGTTAGAAAGGAGAGGTAACAAAGAAATGAGTATCAGAGGTCAACTCATCACCTGACAGACACTTTGAAAAAGCTGTAGTTTTTGAGYCTGGATGCTGAGGGAGTTTATCTCTCTGAAAGCTCTTCAGGCTGACACGAGCACATCTCTCTGTGCCACTTTCTCAGCAGCACGTCTTAACCGAGCAATTCTCACTGAAGAGGAAGTGGCCTCAGTGTTAAAAATTATTTCAGGCCCTTTTTCTCCCTTATTTTAAATGTCTAACTTTCCCTTGGAGGAAACAAAATATCATAAATTTAGCAGTCTTCACTTTTGCAGGAAAAACAGAGCCAAACTTTATCCATTGTAAGCATATTCAACAAGGTGAGATTGAAACTCTTTTGTGTTCATTTAATCAAAAGTAAAAATAAGTGCCGGGTTTGTATTCAACTCTTTAGACCTAAAGGAAAACAATCACCTGGATGCTTCCTAATAATTGCCTTCCTGACATTTTTTTACCAATTTTGTCGGATCTTTCTCTGTTCATAGACATAGCTCCTTTCTTTTTGATATCAGCTCAAACATAATATTTTMTGTATGTTATGAACCATTATATTTCTAAATTTCCTGTCCTCATCCAGCTATCCTTTGTTAAAAATGTCCATTGATTGCATTGATTTTTTTTTTTTGAGTTACAGTTTGCGTATAATATTCAKAAAAATCTGCCTTTGTAAATATGAGAACATGATAAAACCCAAAATGAGCAATGAAATCTTAGCTTGGACAAGTCTTCTTAACTATAACTGTATTATTTTCTTCTTTGCTACTGTTTAAGTTTGGTGCAATAGATACTAATTACAAAAGTTTTCTTCTTTTTTAGCATCCAGATTAATGAAAAAAATCAGGATTTTATGATTTTTTTATTGTAGTGAAGGATTTTTTGCCTGGGAATACAGAGGCCAAATCTCAGCTTCTTGCTACATTATGTAAATCTACTTTGGCATCTATCAAAAATGAAGACACTAAAAATATTGACAAGAAATTCCAAWTACCCACTCAGACACATGAAGCAAAAATAAAGAGCATATTTCCTAAATTTTTTGCACTTTATTTTTTGTCTCCTGGTGTAAAAATGGAGGCAACTATAAAAAGTTTCTATTCTTATCTGACAGAATTTGTACTGATTTTCATTGGTGAAAATTACAATCTAAGACTAAAGTTAGGAATATATCCCATGAAATTTAGAGAGGATAAATTTCTCCTCCCACCTTGGAAAGTAATAACATACAAAGTAAAGTTTATACCTAAGTCTTAAAAGGGAAATTAAAGGCACCGATGCTCTTTGAGCAGTATGCATCTGAGATGCAATCCCAAGATACTATTTCAGTAATTCATATCTTCACAGAATCAAATAATTGAATTAATTACTGTGAAACTAGCAAGCAACTTACTGTACCCAACAATAAAAGGTTATCTCTGTTTTTTTCTGCAATGTCACGGTAATTAATTCTTCTTGTTTTTTTGTTGACTGTTCTTTCAGATTAAAGSTTCTGCATATTATCTTACACTTTTTACAATTTCAAAGTGGTCCACTCTTTATCATAAAGTAGCTTCTGCCCTGAGTRTTGTTCTTTGACTGACTGATACTGGCTGCAGAGCAATTCAAGGGGAAAATGATAATGAAATGCTATATTYCCTAAGTGAATACACAGCAATAAGCAACTTTATAGTTCAATTATATCTTGGGGAATATTTTAAAAGAACTGCTATTCTAAAAGATAAATKGAGAAAGAAGTGATTTAAAAGGTGTTACTTTACAGGAAAATAATTCTTAATAGAAGTTTTATGTGCTCTTTCACTAGTAAAGGATTGGTACAAAATATATAATCTACTGCATTATGTCAAACTCCAGGATAACATTTATAAAAGCCTTTAGGCTTTTTGTAAAATAATAACTGTAGATTGGTAAACTCTTTACAGTGAAAGAGTAATATTAACTTCATTAAAACAATAAAATTGAAACATATACAATACTCTTTTAATGCATGCAATGAAATTGACTTTTCATCCAAGTGCATGTATGCAAATATAATTTTCACCTTTAAGTCAAAAATATTATCTACTGTGCACTGAGCCCATTTATTTTGCCTAGGTACTATTGCAGCTCAGTCAATGAGAGAAGAATGTTTTTCATTATTTTATGTATCATATTAACTATTTCCAGATCAAAGAAAACCACAAGCAGAAATACTTGGAATGGACTCTGTTCCCACAAGTGATGGTAACAAATGTGCCTCCTCTGTCCTTGCTTCACCTGTGGCACAGGGATGAATGCACTCACTGTGCATCAATATCTGTTGYTTTTAAGCATTCAGAATTGACTGCTGTCATTATATTGAGAAAACAAGAATGTTCTTTAATTACTTAGGAGTTTTTTCTGTGAGGTTGTAATCCAGGCAGCTGAAGGTTTTTCACGTCAAGAARAGACACAGTCAGCTTTTAATAAGTTCAATCATGGATCAAATTCTGTCTTTTATCGCAGGTCAAAGATGTAATGAAAAACATCATGGCTGGACTGCAGCAGACAAACAGCGAAATGATTCTGCTGAGCTGGGTCCGTCAATCGACTCGCAATTACCCACAGGTCAACGTTACCAATTTYACCACGAGCTGGTCTGATGGATTGGCTTTCAACGCTCTCCTCCACAGCCACAGGTAGGAAAAGCAGCTTTTCACTGTTTCAGTAAGCCTGTGACAGATGGCTGGAACAGGGCTTGAGGATGGTGTATCTGTTATGTGGGGGGTTTAGCTGCTTCCTCTGGGGGTGTTCCAGCATTCTTTTAAATGGCTGGCTGTTTGCTTTGACCTGGGTGCTGTGTTTTCTGTCATATTAAATCCTCGCATGGAGGGAGAGCTTTTCACAGAACAAACAAATATACTCAGCTCAGATCCTTTTCTTTCTTTATTGAAATAAACAATTTCAGTGTTTATAACAAGTAGATGGTCTCAGGGAGTAGAGGCTTGGAAACTTTWGAGAAGAGCAAGGAGTAGATCCAAAACTAAGCCTTTGAGGTTGTCCTAGAGGGAGAAGGGGATTTTCCTGTGGGTACTTACAGAGAGAAAATGTGGTGTTTGTTGAAAGCCTCTCAGAGCTGCTGAATTGAAAGTATGGATTTGCCTCACAAGGACACAGCTGGAGAAGGTAGCTTTTGTTTTCAAAACCTTTCATGTTATTCCACCRGCTGATTTGAGTTCTTAGCCTCTCTCAAAAGTTGCTTTCTTCTAGTCTGTGCTGTACAAAACTCCACCTCTAGAGATTCAGAGCTCTCTGGGGGCTCTGTATACGTGCCTTAAGGAAGATGTGCAAGTCAGTCTATCTTTAAGGCCCAGTTCTTGNTTTTTTTTTTTTTTTTTTTTTAAAGCGGTGTTGCTTTTTCCAAAGTGATAAGCTTCCTGACCTTGCTTCTCCTACAACTACACTTCTGTCTTAAAGGGGACTGTTCTGCAAGGTGGCTGACTGATGAAATTATTAGGGCGTTGAACTTTTTGACTGTGTAGTGGTTTAAACACCATCCAGAAATTAAACTCCAAATAAGCCACTCCCCTTCCCTCTGGCAAGGGAGGAGCAAAAGCAGAGATGCTGGGTTGAGAWCACAGTTTGCTACAAGCAAGCAGCAATGGAATAAGAAATGCRCAGCAGCAACAGCAATATTAATATCAAAAGAATACAGAAAAAGATAGTCACAAAAAAGATGGTCACCCCCTCGACTTTGTTCTACGTGGCAGCCTGGACAAGAAGAAGTTGATGGACGCTCACTGCAGGTCACATCTGTGTGGCTGCCCCAGACAGAGACAAGAGAGTGACCATTCCCACATGCTGCTCTGTGTGGCAGCTGGGAACAAAGGCAGGATGGCACAGAGGGCTCTCACATCCCAAGACAACAGGAATTACTGACAAAACCCCACCCTGTGGGRAATCATCATAGAAGAGGATTTGARCATGYCAGCTGTATTCCATCCAGGGAKCAGCAACTGTGTTTTTCCTTACAATTTCCATACCATTGTAACCTCTGTTAGKATSTGAATATAACTTCTCAGTTTCCTCTGATTTTAACCCCAGTCATCTTCCCACTTCTTTCCATCTAGAGACAATATCAGACTGCCTGTTTCCTGATTAGGGTATCTGATGCTCGGATATCTGATGATCAGATATTCAGATTGCATGCTYTGCAGGACCATGTAATATCTGGAGTCTAAAATCAGTAATCAGAAATTCCTTTTTGTCTTCTCTGTAGGAATAGCTTCAGAAGTCTGAACAGAGGAACTTTTCCAGGATCAGTCCCTGGCTTGGGAGTGCAGTTGCCAGTAAACCACACTGGGATTGTCTAGACAAATCTTTGTGTCGTGTGTCAGACTTTATGCACTGCTGTGTTCAGTTCAGTGCAAAGTTCACCAGATGAACATTCATTTCCTGCTTCTTACTGGAATTTATGCGCTTTATTCAGGTTTTGTAATTCAGGGCTACAAAACTTTAGCCTGCTTTTACTCTTCTTCTGTCTGCTGCCATAAATCTTGCATAGCTTTCTGCACAGTGAGCCTATTTTCAATAGAAGTGAAGAATTACTCCACAGAAGTCTCGTCTTCTGCCCAGTAGTTACTGCACTTATCTGGGAAATGGCAATTGTTCTGTCAGATTCCCAGAGGCAAATCTCCAAGACACACCAGTCATCTTCTGGATTTCAATCACTAAGTTCCTCTGCAAAAGTTTCATTTCCTCATTTCCTCCAAAGCCCTGATTCAGTCATTTTTAAGATGAACCAATGAAGTTTGATTTTTGTTTACTTTGCACTTCATATTCAAAGKGTGTGGGAATGCTGAATTGTCCTTCAGGATTCCAGGTGGAATCAATTAAATAGGTACACTAAAACACTGAGTGCTCAGGAGCTCCTAACTCTATCCTGTAATAACCAAAACATTCTCTAAGGAGCCTAATTAATCACTCTAAATTCAGATACATTACAGACTTGTTGGGTGTCAGAGTGTCTTGGATTAAGTGTCTAAAAAAAGTTTCAATAAATACTGAAGAAAAGTTGTGCAAGAGGGGTTTACATGAAGTCTCAGAGAAACCTGGTATCTCACACATCCTATGCTTTATAACTATTTTTTTTATTTACTTCCATAGAATGATAAGCAGTCTGGTGACAAACACTTCTGAATTTAATTCCTCTGATTTCCCTGTTCAATTTTCTGTTTCTCCAGTTCTCCCATTCTACTTCTTTCTTGTCTATTTCCTTGTTCTTGTTAAAGTTTCATCCAGATGTTCTCTTCTTTTTTCCTTTCATCCTCYGATTTTATGCCTCTGCATTGTCAGGAATGGGAGCAGAGCTGGTCATAAGAAAGGATAGCTATARTTTGAAAATCACACACTGCACCTGGTGCCAGGTGTGTGCACTTTTTCCCAGTTTAGCACTATTCTTAGACTGCTGCAGGAACCCAACCAAGAACAAACCAAAACACCTTCAAAACCCAACAGAAAACCTGAAACACAGAAAATCTAGCAGTGAAAGAATGATGCTACCAAACTTTTCTCCATAGTATTTAGACTCTCTGAAAGTGAGGGTAGATTTTGCTAGCATTAAAGCTACCTCTTTTTCAAACAAATCCTTTTCCTTTATGGATGGTGRTATTTTAATTTCTCTTATATAATGTTTGCAATGATGAACTGGTGGCTTTTTGTTTTGTTTTTGTTGTTTTGTTGRGKTTTTTAAGAGGTTCAGAGAGTAATGTGAAGCTTGCATCTGGATGAATTTTCTAAGCAYCTCCTTAAAGGGATTGGGATAAAGAGACTGTCATGAAACACTAACCATGTAGTAAGCTGTGAGAGCAGTGGGAACCTTTATTTCTCATTGTCTTTTAACCCACCAATMCATTGCTTTCAGCTGATTTGGTTGGATCAAACTTTTCTAAACCCTTTCTCCATCATTTTATAAAAGGGTTACTTWAGGCTGATATTCCCATCTCTGTAATCTCTCTATGGATATTTAGGACTGAAACTCTAATTGCTTTCAGTTCTGAGTGCAAGAAGCAGTGGAACACAGGTCACTTGGCAAATCTACAAGGGCACATCAGTGACCCCAGCATGGGAATTTTCAGGATATAAGCTTGGCACGTGGTCTCTTGAATGGTAGGTTGTGTATTGAACTGCAAAAAGAAGGCAGCAGCTGTGGAGTGGCATCATCACCCTAGGAATGTACAGAAACTAAAATATTTTCCTGAGGAGGAGAGGTCAGTCCTTCTACAGTTGAAACTCTCCCATCTTCAGGCTGCAGATCACAAATACCTTTCCCATTTTCTTCTTGTAATCTTTATCCTCCAGGTGGATATCAGAGAGAGCTTTTCCTCTAATTTTTTTTTTTTTTTTCCTTTTCTCCCCTGGCCCTGTAACCAGGATTTTGAAGAGGGAACAGGTGGAATTTGTTATCTTCCTCCTTGCTTCTTTAAAATGCTTGAACTGAGGCCAGGTGACTGCCTTACAAATGAGCACTTCACTGGAGCTGTTTCTGCTTCAGGGTGGTAGAGTGAGGAGGAAAGAAAAATGTCATTAAAAGGAGGTCCTGGATAGAAGTGGAAAAAAAAAATTTTTTTTTTTTTCTTTTCTCCCCTGGCCCTGTAACCGGGATTTTGAAGAGGGAACAGGTGGAATTTGTTATCTTCCTCCTTGCTTCTTTAAAATGCTTGAACTGAGGCCAGGTGACTGCCTTACAAATGAGCACTTCACTGGAGCTGTTTCTGCTTCAGGGTGGTAGAGTGAGGAGGAAAGAAAAATGTCATTAAAAGGAGGTCCTGGATAGAAGTGGAAAAAAAAAATTTCTTCAGTAGTTTACAGGAAAAGTAAAAGTAAAAACAACAGGATGAAGAGATAAGAAAAGAATCCTATTTTAACAAATCACTAGTCTGTGTGTCAGTTACTGTATCCTGACTCTTTTTTTTAATTGTGAGAATTCTGAAGACATATACAAGATATTGTATWCAAAAGCTGAACCAATAAGCCCACAACTTTTCTCTTATAAAGGAGATGGCAAATTTTATGTTCTAAATGTGACTAATTTCTGCCTACAATAATAGAAAACTGTGRTTTGTCTTATCCTTGACTTTAATGTCTACATAGAGATCTGTCAGGATTTGTTTGCCCATAGCATACACCAGATTCAATTTGCTCACCCTGGCTGAACTAGTTCTGTTGTGAGTTTTGTAACTGAGGGTCAGAGGGGATGTAGGGAGTCTCTTTTGTACTTATTTTTCTTAGAAATATGTTTTGGAAAAAAAAAATGGGGTTTTTTCCCCTTTATKTTTTTATTTTCCTAGATCTAGGAAAGAACTGCTTGTGCAAAAATTACTTTATAKTCAATATAAATTTTGACTTTTACAATGCAAACTTCTCCATTGAAGCCCTCAGTCTTTTCARTTTTGGCTGTCCATGATGATGCCATAAACCAGTGCTGTATGAGCTGATCAGTGAGTGGCTGGATAAAGGTCAGCATATTTTATTTAATTCTAAATTCTCTGAATGTGCACATGGTTGCATTGTTCAGGAAGAGGAGCAAAGAATGTTGGTTATTTTTTCTTGGGTTGCTCCCTGTCAGACAAGACCCMAGCTGCAGATATGAGAATAAATTTAATCTCCCTTGATATTACGTGAACAATATGGAGAGAACAAATGAAGGCAGAGAATCAGTATTCCATTTTATTTATTTTCTCTGCTGTTTCATATCTTGTCATTCCTGTATTTAAAACTCCTTAAAAAGCTAATAATAATTGTAATTTGAAAATCTGGTTTCAGTGTTGTTTCAGGGATTTTCTAAAGCTATTTTCCACTTACCACAATTATTAATCTTCTAGGCTGTAATATCTCCCACAATCACACTTATTGCCACATAAATACACCCAGTGAAATATCCTGACACCCAGCACTGAGAAGCTGATGCTTCAAGCTGACATTATGACACTGTTATTCTAGTGATAGAGCTGCTGAAATGTATGTAGTAACATTATCTTTCAACAAAGGGAAAATCTGGAAAGTTAAATTGCAGTTGGAGTAGGGAGAGCTTTTTTGAATTTATTTTTCTTTTAATAATTTGGTGCTTGTCAGAGCTGAGTTGCAGTAGGTGGCCRTGCCTTTGAAAGTTGATTTGGAATCTGTGCTGTCTGCTTTATGTACAATTCTAAGAAAACTGATAAGAAACCTGTCATGACATACTAAAGTTTACAAGTTCTCTTATAGCTGTGTCTCAGAGGTTTCAGATTTTTGCCATCTGTAGAGAGTGAAAAAGAGATGCTCTGTCTGCCAAAAACAGGCACATGCATTATGCAAATTCAACTCAGGTGTTAGGACATGRTGTTGTCTGAAACTTTGTCATTGAAACTCTTGTGGATTCTGGAGTGTTTGAAAAAAAGAAGCAAAAACCCCAACAAAAACTCTGTGTGTCTTATATTGAGAGTCCTACCTCTACAGATGATGTCATGATAATAATTTTAGACATCCTGGTAGATTTGCTTGAAGGTACCCTCCTGGATTATAAAACTGAAAAGYTCGATGAAATTGATAATCTAAGATATTATTAATGATGATAGAGGTTTTCTCAAGAGGAATAAGACAATATTGTGCCATTACTCAAAGAACAATTGTAAATGTTCATGTTCTTGCCCACTGGCGTCCTGACTGATTAAAAGTATGCTCCTGCACATAAAATCTTGTCTCACAAAAAAAAGTCATGATTATGTGAAGATTATGTGTCCTGTCTGAGAACCTCAAATATGATTACAACTTAAAGACAAATTAAAAAAAAAAAAAAATTGAGGGGGAGGTAGTCCCTTGGATACAATTCCTTCCTCTCTTTGTTCTAAAACTTTTTGTTACCAAATAATCTTTTTGGACTAGTCTATGTAGTAGTTTTGCAACTCATCCTTGCCAAGCATTTTAAGAAAGTTGTAAGAGATTGTTTTGTGATTACTGCAGTGTTTTTTTAACTAGATTTTCTGTGTGAGCTTATGCATCCCATGCCAAGGGTTAAATTTGGGGAGAATATGGGTTTGAAGAATATCTATGGTGGCAGAATAAGGTGTGGGAGTGTGGTGGCTTGACYCCAGTCAGCAGCTGAGCACCCACAYAGCCMCYTGCATGMTTCTMCCCCTGYTYCCCCGGGACAGGGAAGAGAATACAAAAAGTGAAAGCAAGGAAACTCTTGAGTCAAAATGGAGACTGAATAAATGGAGGAAAGGAGTAGAAGAACAAGTGGTGAAAAGACAGTAACTGAAGGTGGAGTGAGGGGAAAAAGAGAAGGTCTCGTTTTTGTGTAGGCACACTTCAGAAATACCTGGTTTGCTCTGAAAACCATTTTAACTGTAAATCCCAAACCCAGCATCATGTAAACAACCCAGTATCATGAACAATGTTAACTCCACCTCCAGTTAAAGGAGGATGGCCAAAGATGATAATTTGTTGCAATAATTAATGRTTTCATAATTAGTGATTCTAATATGTAATAATTATAATTAATTTTATAATTACACATAGCCTGTATTTTGCATGCCTGTGGCACAAACCAGTCTATGGGTTCACAGACTYAATGCATCCATGACTAAACCCAGAAATTCCTAAGTTTCCTCTTCRTTCTCCACCCTGTACCCAGCCATATTTAATGTTAATATTAAATAATATTAATTAATATGTGGAAGATATTAATATTCTGCATGTGGGAAGGAGAAAACTCTACTTTTAATATTTAAGTGTCTATGCATAGAGAAGCGAAATAACTTGGAATAACTTAATTTTTACTGTGTAAATCACTCCCCTCTCAGAAAAAAAATCAAACTGCAAAGKAACATAACTGGGGAATTACTGCTAGATAAATGGCATTTTTCCTTTACACCCTTGGCATTATCATAATATGATGTAGCAAGCATTTTTTTTCCATTTATTATAACTCAGGAGACTATTTTAAATTAACTTCTAAAATTAATAAAAATGTAAGTAAATCTGTCGTAACCAATTGCAAAATTTAARTTTTGTAAATAATGTACTTGATTTGTCTGTTGTTGAAATTAAGCATTTAAATTTCTTCTAATTTAGAACACTGTCTTCAAGTCACAAATAGCTTYGTTGGCTTTCTTCATATTGCACGCACAGTAATTACAGAATATCTGATTAGACTTTATTTCTCCAGAGTGCCTGATAACAAATTCTGATTTCCTAATGGATAACTCTGAGATGAAAGGCCAAAGATCGTGGTGTATTAACATTATTTATACTGCAAATAGTGCAACTGCTCATTCAAGGTCCCAGATTGTGCATCTGAGCTGTAATTCAGTTTTGGTCATTCTGTCTTTTCCTGTTAGAAAATGTAAATCATCTCATGGCAGTGTTAAAGAAAGAGCTGAACTCTCTTCTTACAGGTGTTTCCTGACCCAAATSTTTCTATGATTCTAGGAATTTTTTAACCTGTTGGCCGATTTCAATCTGATGTAACAGTGAGCTGGTAATCTCAGAAGCAATTTCACTCTTAGAAATATTAATTTAAATTAAAAACTGGTGGCTGAGGAGAGGAGGAAGGCTTCCAGACGTCCTCAGCAGAGGTTGTTGGGGCTTGGCAGAGAATAAGAAACATGGATAATGGATGAGAATAGAATACAAAGCCATTAAAAAATGAGTTCCAGCACAAATTAATGAGATCTTTCATTGTGAAAATGATAAAAGCAGTAGTTGATGSTGATTAATAGCTTTAGAAATGCACAAATAAATCTATGACTAAAAAAGTAAGAAACTTCTTCCTCTTATTTTTGCTTTAGACCAGACCTATTTGATTGGAACGCTGTTGCTTCTCAGCAGTCACCTGTACAACGATTAGACCATGCMTTCAACATCGCCAGGCAACACCTGGGAATAGAGAAACTCCTTGATCCTGAAGGTTTGTAGAAATTCTCTTGGTTTAAGTTTGTTTTTGTTTTTTTTTTCTTTAAATGAAAAATCGGTTTTTTCATGCATTTGATTATAAATTAATTTGATTTTTTTTTGGCACAAGAATTTAACACTTTGCCWGATAAATTATAAATGGAAGCAAAATCCTTTACTTTTATTACTACCTTTGTGCTCTATTGAAATAACGTAAAACTGCCTGTACTCGAAAGCAATTTTTTTTAGTTTTGAGACCAGAGTTTTAATGTTCATGCACTGAATTGGAGGTGTCTTGGCAAGCTGTTCATTTCTGTATTGAAGGTTTAGGGTATCTGTAGCTTTTGTATCTTCTGGAAAGATCTTGAGTTCAAATTACCTTTTAATGTATATCCAAAATGTGTATTCACTCTCTTGATAGATAGTAATATCTTTTATATATGAGTTATACTTCTCTTTATATTGAAATTTTATCAGGATATCTCATATCAGTGTCATTTAATCTTACATGTAATACAATTGCCTATTTTACCTTGGCTATCTTTTAWAYGTGCTTAAGCCATCATATTTGAAARGYTCCTTGTTTTACACATATTCTCTTTAATTTTGTACATTTCTATATATTCTCTGACATAGTTTCTACATTGCTGACAGACTAGTAATTTTCCCTCCGAGGATATTCCTAAAACATTATTTACTCTGAGACAGTTGGAACAGCAATTTTATTTCATATATATATATATATATATATATATATATATATGCACACATATACACACACTTTCTTTTTCCATACAATAATAGCTTTACTATATTTTCATGAAATTTCCTAATAAGCCACTAATAAATGAAATTTTGTATATGTTTGTGCTGTTCTCAGTGGCTCACTCATGGTAGCTTTTATTTTCGTGGGAAGAACTAGAATTTAACAGAAGGCAAAAATTAAACTAAAACATAGATTGGGTCTCTTAATGTTTAAATATRGTTGGGCATGTCTCAGTTGTTAACTAATAACCTTGTATACCATGTATTTCCCTAGGAGAAATATTGAAAAATTATGTAGTTGAATGTCACAGCATTTCTTGCCTCATACACTCATGTCTAGAACTCAGTTTTGGTGAACCACTGGAGGAARAACAGGTTTTCTACACACTTTAGCATGGGACTGAGTTTATAAACTCTGAATGAGATTGGAATTTAAAACTGAGTTCTGCAACTGAATAGATGTGGTCATAGTGTTTTCTCTAACTGGCTCAACTTTTTTCTTAAAATAGATCAGTGAATAAGTTATTTTCTGTATGCAACAGTCAATACTGATTAGAGATTTTATTCTGGTTTTGGCAAAGAGACTTGCAGTTGTTTAGCCAACAACTGAAAAASTCTTAAACATTGGTGGTTTTCCAAATGTCTTCTGAAATTATTTTCAATTCAGTGTTGTAAATCACAGTGCCAGCCACCTATTTCTTTTTTTTTCCCTCTGTAAACATTTCCAAAGGAAAAGTATATTTTGTACCTATTTGAAAGTATGAGTATGTGGATATATGCAAGGGAAAAATCTTGTTTGATGTTCGAGAATATTTTTTCTGTAATTTTACTTTGTATATTTATCAATAKATCTCATAATTGGGTACTCAAATATCTCTTATCACTGTATTGTGTAACACCCTCCTCTCTGGGTGCAAAATGCTAAAAATGGGGGAGTATGCAGTGGTGAAACATTCCTTTCATGTAATTTAATACCTGTCAAAACAGCAGATGTGTAATTTGTGAACACTTTAAAAWTTATTTTTGTTCATTAAATGTCTGCTGTCTTGATTTTGGAAATATTGAGTGGAAAGGAAGCCACTGTTCAGTAAAGGCCTACTCTTCTGCAACCAATTTCKTAGTCAAAAAATAAAGGGCTTGGGGTTATTTGTGTTCTGAAATTACTGATGATTGATAAATGTTGAAACAGATGTCTAGGGGAGTCTATCTTAGCAATTAGATTTTGAAAAGTAAACATTTATGCTCAGCCAAACTTTGGTTTTCTGGTTTATTTATGAAGTTTGCTTCTTTCTGAGGTTGCTGATATTTAAAGGCTGTCTCATGAGAAATAGTCARTTTATTACTGAGGCTGTTGATATTTCAAGTCTATCCCATGAGCATCTTTTAAAACATTTTTCAAAATTTGATCTCCATTTCAGTCATCAGGGTGGTAAAGGTACTTTACATCTAAGTATTTCTTGTAAAAGCTRTGTTGTGTAAATTACAGCTTTTGTATTTGGATTCATGCAGAGATGATCATTCCTGCTATTGTCCTTACTTTGGCTACTAGGAATGTTTTTTTTTAATATCATTAGAATATACTAATGATGCCAATTTTTCTTAGTTTTTAGGCAAGTAAACTTGGCAAAACCTACCCTASCCAATCGTATTTATAGTGATGTTTGCATCTTAAAACACAGAAGAAAATGCTAGGCATCCAGAGCTAGAAATCTTTTTTTGGTGCTCTTTCATCATCTTAGGAAAGTCTTGTACCGAATTCCTGAAGTAGTTTGACAAGATTCTTTCTGTTCTGATACATTGATTCTGTGSCTCATCCATGAAATTGGATAATGTGTTCACAAAGTATTTTACCTTGCTAACTTCCCCCTAAAAACACCAAGCAATGTGTCTTTCTGCTCATRGCTTTCCTTGAAACAAAATGAGCTGAGGGAAGGTTGCGATTAATCAGATCTTCTCTGAAGATACAGTGTTTTTATCTAAATTCCCAAATAGGCTACAAATTTGGTGTAGATTAAATTCTGCAGAATTATTCTGCAGTCAGAATGTTCATAATATTTGGTGTGGGGGAGGGCAAGAATAAGATATGTGGTAGGAGCTTCATTCCAGCTTTTTCACTTTCCTTTTCCTATGGAAGACATGAAGAATCCAACATCATTCCACAGGAAAAAAAAAAAAAGTTAGCAGTTGGTTTTTTGTTTTAAAGTTGTTTGAGGGTTTTTTTGATTGAATCCTGTCAGTGAGTGAAATGTAAGCAGGTTTAAATGTCCATCTGGTGTTCATTACTGTAATATTTTCATACTATAATATGTATAAGATAACAAGAGGAAAACACAAGATCAGGTAGCAGAAACTGGTAGATGCCAGTTTTATTTAGAAGTTGTTAAAGACCTATATATATGTGCATATATATATATATATTAATGGGCTGGATTCAAAAGGAAAAATGTGTTTGCAAATTGAATTTTTTTAGGCCAAAGTATTTCTATGTAATTCATAACAACCTCCATAAGGCATTTATGATTATGTAGGTATGATGTTTTAAATCTCAATAATATTCTCTGTRATCCTTTCAAAGAATAAATAGTTATTTTGCTTTGCTTGCTCAAAACTAATATTTGTTGCTAAATATTAGTTGCACAAACCAGATCATTTAAACATTGATTTCTGGTGAGATTTGAATGACAAAGCTAGCATATGGAAATCTTCTACTACAGTCATATGTATTCTTTTAATGCTATTTCCTTTCTTTTCTTTTTTTCTTTATTTCTTTTTTTTAAACTAAAAATAAAAACTATAGTCTTGATCCAACTATGGATAATTTCTGATTGATTTTTCACACTTTTGTGATAGCTGTGATTTTCTGGATGTAAATTTGAGTTGCTGACTTTTCAAAAGACTTTGGTTGATTGATTTCAATGTAAATAGTTCATGTTATTCTTTGTTCTCTTGCCATTAGAGTATTTTAGGYATAATATAATATAATACAGTATAACCTCTGAACACTTTTCCAAATTATAAACTCCTTATGTTTCACACTCATTATTTTAAGCTATTATTACATCTCAGCATCAATTAGTGATGAGGATATTTGCCATCTTTGCTGGTATGGGTTGACTTAAGCTAATTTTAGCAAAAAAACTTAAAATATTTTAAACAAATTAACTAAACAATGGTGATATCTGTAACTTCAACTTGAATATGTCAGAGCTTAAATGATTAATCAAGCTCTTAAGATTAGTCTGCATATTTTAAGAACATCCAACAACCTGGGCTTCCAGTTCTGAATAGTTAACTGGTTCTTTGTGAACTTTTTATCTGTATTGGAATTGTGGAGGAACGTTACTCTAGTCTTCACATACAAACTTCAGAAAATATTTTAAAGGCCATTATTTTCCTTGTTTAGTATTTACTTTTTCTGGAGCATCTTTTTAAATTTCACCAAACAAGGAATAGGGCAAGCAAACAGCAACTTGTGTGGTGGTCAGCAACACGTAGTAGCTAAATGTTATTGGCTGCTTAATGGCATTTTATGTTTTACTCTGGTATAGAATACTAATGCCAAATTGGAGCAGAAGGATCTTTTAAGGAAAAGCAGTGATGTCTCAGAAACTGAATCTGGGAATAGATCTGAGCTGTCCTCTTTCCCCTTAAAACAGCTGAGGAACAGCTGAGTTGTGCTGTGGTAGCAGTAGAAGTGTTTGTGTGCTTGCTCCTAGCAGTGAACATCTGATTCTTGGTTTAATGAACTTTTCCYTGCTGTCATTTTTCTGGGCCTTGTGCATGTTTGTGCTAGCCCKATAATAAATAGACTATGAAGTTATATAATGGCATTTCTGCTGTCCTTTTTAGGTGAAGTAATTATCCAGTTTCTCATACTTTGTGTAGCCTGATGAAAAAAAAAAAACCCTTCATTTAATCCATCCCAGTCACATTTTACATATTTTTCCTTAATTTGCACCGATGACATGAGTTTTTGGCACCATTATTAAGTGATAATGAGACTCGGACAGTTTTTCATTTGATAATATTTTTGTTTGATCTTGACTTCCTATACTTCTGTATCTCAGCAGTGATGGATTCTACCACATTCTGCACCATTTGGAGCACAAAGAAGAGGAAAAAAAGCTTGTCAGCATCGTAGTTCATGATGTTTTTAACCCTGTCTATACTCAGTAGTTGTGTGCAGTTGTAACACTGGTTTTCAGTAAATTTTGTTGCCCTTGGGACCTTTTGTATTATGCCTTAAAATTT